TGTTGAATATTTTTATCATAATGGAATTGGTGTCGAAAAGAATAAACAAAACATTCAAATATTTTCAAAAATCTGCAAAGATAGGACACGCTATGGAACATATAGTGTTAGATATTGTTATGCTGAAGGAATTGGTATCGGAAAGAATAAACAAAAGACATTTGAATATTTTCAGAAAGTTGCAGAGATGGGATACGCTAGTAGAACATACAATGTTGGATGTTGTTAATTTTATTGATTTTGTAAATGTTCAGGTATTGCGTCTTAATATAAATAACACTTATGCAAATGCTGGAATAGACAAAATCTCTCAAATTTTGAGTTTGTGGAATGTTTTTGTAAATAATTCAAAACTCGTTTTAGGCGTTGAATTTGGTGGAATTGTTGAAATTGTTTCTGACGATAGTAATAATATTAAATCAGACATCGAGAGTCAACAACTTCAACCAGCAAATGACTCAAATTTTAAGTTTCTTTTTACAAATAATGAACAGATTTCAGATCAATCAATACGAAACAACTATATCTTTACCAACAACAAACTTTTCAAACTACTATGTCATTTTCTATGAAGATTATCAATCGTTAAATGCCAAACTTGACTATATAAAAAATAATAATTTAGCAGGAATTGCGATTGCGGACATCACCAAGGATTCGAAAGATTTACGATTGACAAACTTTATTTTGGGAATTCTACCAAATAATCCGGGAAGGAATGAAAATTCAACCTCTTCATCTCCCAATATAGCTGCAATAGTGGGTGGTGTAATAGGCTCCATTATTTTGGTTAACGCATTAGTAGCTGTTGGCATCATATTGTATCGAAGAAGGTACAAACCAAGAAATGTTGTAACAACTGTCATAGCAATGTTTGATTATGTGAGAAAAGAGGCAAATGATTTGAGTTTTAAAGCAGGTAATGTTATTGAAGTACTTTATAATTAAGGAATTAGAGTCGAAAAGAATGAAAAAAAAAAAAAAAACAAAACAGAAGGCATTTGAATATTACTTTAAATCTGCGGAAATTGGTGATGCAGATAGAAATATCTCCTGGACAAAGACTATTTGATGGCAAATCATATGACACTGATCTTGTGATGATGATTTGTTTCAGATTACAACCTGAATTTATTCCTGAGACTCCAGAATGTTATGTTGAATTGGCCAAGCAATTGAGATAGCATTGACTCGTACCTTCAATCCACATCATCACGTGTCAAAAAAAAAAAAAAATCCAGAAAAATGCCATGGGCATGTTTTCTTCCTCACCTGTATTTTGCTTTACTACTCTCATATGATATGAGTATATTTAAAGATCTGATTATATTCTTGCTCCATGACTATAAAGTAATAAAAAAAAAAAAAAAAAAGAGAAAACAAGAAGCACAATGACTTCACGGGACAGACAACTACCAACCACCAAGATCAAAACAATAACGAAACACCTCACGATATACCCAATTCTCAATCTCGTTTTTTCTTTTCTCCTTGAATTATTTTTACCACTTAACATCAAATGAGCGGTGTAGAGA